TGGAAACCCTGTGGGGCAGTTCTACTCTGTCCTATAGAGTCACTATGAGTCCGAATCAACTAGACAGCAACAGATTTGGGTGTTTTTTTGGCTTTATTAACCATTTGCATACTGAGCAATTACTATATAATCTTGCCTGCCTTAATTCCTATCTCCAAAATAACTTGGGTTTATCATATTTTTTAATCATTTTTTTCTCCTCAGAAAAATAGAGATAGCTACTTCTGAATCTACTTGCTAGCAACTCACTACAACAGCTAGCGAATAAGATGCTCCTTAGCTGTCAACGAAGAATGATGTAACCGAATAACCAAACCTGTTGCCCTCAAGTCAATTCCGACTCCTAGCGACCCTGTAGGACAGAGTAGAACTGCCCCATAGGGTTTCTGAGGAGGAGCTCGTGGATTCCAACTGCTGACATTTTGGTTAGCAGCGGAATCCTTAACCACCACGCCACCAGGGCTCCAAGACATGATGTAGCGGGGTGAAATTCTTTATACTGTGTCCCCTTACCTCTCCTTTTCAAATTCTTATGTAAAGTAAGGTCTGCTCATCCAAGAAAGGCAACCAGTATGAGAGGAATGGAGCCCTGGTGGCGCAGTGACTAACAGCTCGGCTGCTTACCAAAAGGTCAGCAGTTCGAATCCACCAGCCGCTCCTTGGAAACCCTATGGGGCAGTTTTACTCTGTTCTATAGGATTGCTATGAGTTGGAATCAACTCGACGGCGATGGATTTATGAGAAGAATCAGAGTAATGAGTTGGTGCAACTTGAGATGATTCTTGGCCTCCAACACTCCCTACCCTCCTTACAGTCTGGGCCCTCAATGCATCCGCCCAGCCCTAGCGTTCCTACATTGGACAGTAGCGTACAGAGAAAGTCCAACTCCCCCTCATCCAAGTTGGGTACTACATAAGGTTGCTCAGGTAGATATTGGGGCGTGGCCGGCCTGAGCAATGGCCAGTTTACAATGTAAAACTGGTAATTAAAGTATCTGACTGATTCATTTACTGATTGATTCACCAAAGTTTTATTATGTACCTACTCTGTGTCAGAAGGACCCCTGGTAGCACAAATGATTAAGTGCTTGGCTGCTAACCGAAAGGTCAGTGGTTCGAACCAACCCAGAAGCTCTGCAGGAGAAAGACCTGGTGATCTCCTCACATGAAGGTTACAGCCTAGGAAACCCTATGGAGCAGTTCTACTCCGTCATGTGGGGTCGCTACAGTTGAAATCCACTCGACAGTACCCAACAACAACAGCAAACTTGGGTAAGGTTTTGTCTGAGCACCAAAAATAAAAGCTTGAGTAAGAAACAGGCTTTGTTGTATAGGATCTTGCGACCAGTGACAGTCAGATTTCAATATCATATGACTGTAGTGTGGGATACAGAAGGCTCCTATCCCTGCCCTCGCTGGTAAGACATGACTTTCTGATGGAATGATTTCTAAATGGAAACCTAAAAACTGAGTAAAGTGGGCTAGGTCAAACGTGTGAAGGGGGTTCCCAGATCACATTCGATAGCAAACATTTGATAAAGGAAAAAAAATTGGTGTTTCTGTTTTGCCCAAACCTTTTTATTATGTTCTCAAAAGGCACTGAGAAGGAAAGACAGCAAGAGCTATTATCATTATGAAACGTGCATAATCCAGCACTGAAAGGTATTACTAGGAATTCACCATCACTATAAAAGAGAAGTAATAGTGAAATCAGGGAAATGGCAATAATGATAACAATCCAAGTAGAATGGAAATGTAAATAGCATAGAGAACTTTGCCTGCCCAGAAGTTGGGCTGCTTCTGAACATTGGTTCATTTACTATTCATTTCAGTATGAAGCACAGTTCACTGGACAAAGGCATGGAAGATTTCTTTAATAACTCTCAGTACTAATTTAATTCTACTTAAACACACATATTCTAGTGAATGCCACATGCTTTTCAGCATGATTTTATGTGTAAATCAGGATAATATGTTTTCAGGTCATTAAGTAAAAGGAAGCATGAACTAAAACCTATTGAATCAATGAGGTATCACCTCTAAACTGCCACAAGGTCATAAAAAAGATAATTTCAAAGCTATAAGTTTCCCAGTTGTAATCAACACTCTAACGACGAAAGAAAGCATGTCGTGATGTGGCCGCGACAAACTTGAGCGAATCCCTGCCTGTCTTCAAATACATTCGGCTCTCTCGTTTGGTAAAGAGCTGTCTCCCAAACTCTGGATTTCTGAGTACATGAAGACTCCAGAGAGTGCGGGCTGGGGTAGTGTATGATAAGGACACGGACAAGTGTCCACACAGTGCAGCTGAAGAAAGCCTCAGTGAGTAGTTTATTTCAGTTCTGATACACCACTATAAAACAATGTTTCAGCTTCTTTTTTGCATACTATTAATGCTTCTACTAACAGACATATACACAATGTATATTGAGGTAGCATAGGAGTTTGCTGCTTTTGAACTGTGTCTATTGATCCAACCATCATCCATCCATCCATCCAAATCTAACCCATTGGCAATGAGTACAATCTAACTCACGGCAACCACATACGTGTCAGAGTAGAACTGTGCTCCATAGGGTTTTCCATGGCTGATTTTGGCCTTACTTCTGAGGTGCCTCTGGGTCGACTCGAACCACCAATCTTTTAATCTTTTGGTTAGTAGCTGAGCACATTAACTATTTGCACCACCCATGAACTAACTCTCTCTCCATATATACATATGTGTGTGTGTATATCATCACATACACACACACATATATATGTGTATGTGTGCATATGTATGTGTATATATTTAAAATGTGTATATATTTAAGCCAAACAAACCAAACCCATAGCTGCACTATAGGACAGAGTAGAACTGCCCCATAAGGTTTCCAAGGAGCAGCTGGTGGATTCAAACTGCCAACCTTTTGGATAGCAGCCAAATGCTTAACCACTGTGCCATATACATTATAAGTATATATATACATATATATTATAAATTATTAGAACATACATCCTTAAATACATGAACAATGATTAAATTGGCTCTCTTTTATGGATGCTATGCAAGTCACAAACTATCTAAATCAGTGTAAATGCCATAAAACGAATATATAACTCATTGAATAGTCCATATATCTGTTAAGAAAGTGAGCCCTGGTTGAACAGTAGTTAAGAGCTTGGCTGATAACCAAAAGGTCTGCAGTTCAAATCCTCCAGCTGGTCCTTGGAAACCCTATGAGGCAGTTCTGCTCTGTCCTGTAGGGTCACTATGAGTTGGAATCGATCCGACGGCAACAGGTTTCAGGGTTAAAAAAGTGTTACTAAGTAACTTCAAATCTCTGTTAAAGTACTAATCACTCTTTAATTTCTAAATGTGAGTAAAGGGTAATATATATATATATATATATATATATACACAAACATTTAGAGTCATCAGAATTTTCTATCCCTTTCAGCATTCAGCATTTGGATTAGAGTAAAAAAGAAGATATAAATATTCAAGATTTGTGGTGTTTTGTTTTATCTCAATTTTTAAATAAGCACTTATCTAAATTCAATTGCCTTCCTTTTTATTGGTTCATGGTATATGATACTATCTGAGTTAATCAGCCTCAAATGTTTCTTCGAAGCATTCTTAAACAATGTGACTTCTGCCATTAGGGTTTCAAGTGTTTCAGTAAACACCCATCCATTAATTCTCATAATGTCATAAAAATAGATAATAGTGAATGGTTTTTATAACACAACTAATAGTGAATATTTTCAACATGGGAGGGTGGAGTGTTGCATATAAACTGCAGAGTAACCCTTATTTTCCCCTAGTGATGAGGCACTTACTGCTCTGATGGTCTTTGTGTCTAGATGGAGTCTCTCCAGGCTGCAGACTGCTGTCAATAGGATGGTGACATTCTCCTTAGTCCAGAACACATGGTTCCAGAAGCTGGGCCACGGGGCAAACATTTCCTTCAGTATTTTCAGAAAATATACATTCCTAAACACTCAACAGAGAATCAGGCTCTTATTATCTTAAGTCACACTTTCTACGCAAGGGCCATCATGTAAACCTGAGAGGGAATTTTCTCCTTAGAAATTACCAAACCAAACCAAACAAACAAACCCACTGCTATCGAGTGGATTCTGACTCATAGTGACCCTACAGGACAGAGTCAACAGCCTCATAGGGTTTCCAAAACTGTAAATCTTTACAGAAGCAGACTGCCACATCTTTTTCCCATGGAACACTTGGTGGGTTCCAACCATTGACCTTTTGGTTAGTAGCCAATTGCTTTAATCACTGCGCTACCAAGGTGCCTCAGTAATTATTTCCCTCAAATAATGAAAACAATGGTGAAATTGATTTAATATCAAAATAGTGATAATTTGAGTACATTGTCATTTTCTTCACAGAAATATTTAAAAGAAAAATATCCGGGCTGGATCACATCTCACATGTAAGTGTGATATCGGTGCACTATCGTCACAAGGGCGTGTAGTTTAAAGGATTATTCTTCTAGTGTGAAGAGAGTTTTCCTATTTTATATATTATTTACTCACTGCCCTTTTTTGCAAAGAGGGAAGGCTTAGATGTACATCTAAGCTAGCTCGTCAACAAACCAGGAATGAGAACCATTGCAGTTGAAAATTAAAGCTAAAATTGAACATATGAATTTTTGAATCTAAATGAAGTCTCAAAACAAGAAGCATTTCCCAATCTTCATCACATGCAAAAGGTGAATATAGTTACATGTGTGCATACGTATGGGTATATAAACACACATTAACACAGACACAGTGCAATATGAAGGCATTCTCAGTAAAACAGTAAAAGATTATCAATATAAGGATCTTGATCAAGAGTCTTAATAAAACAAATAACAACAACAAAACAATCAGAAATAAAATTGAGCCCCTAAGTTCTAAAAAAAAAAGTCTAACAATAAACAAGGATGTTCAATAGAGGCTCGGTTCCACGGCATTTGTATAAAATGAGGTAGACAACATTTTTCATAGACTTACCTCCTGGAGGCATCGCAATCATTATAGGATCACTTATCAAGCTGCCTTGGCTGTTGGAAACATTCACTTGCACAGTGTAGTTAGTAAAAGGAATTAGCCCATCGACAAGAACCCAAAGGTTGCTCTTCTCACTGCTGTGCACGATTTGTGTGCCGTTCAGAAGGGTGTAGTTATTACCTGCTAATTAAATAAAAGGGGAGGAGGTTATTAAGGTTAGTGTTTATTTTAGGATTCTTTCTTGCTATTGTTTGACTCTTTTCTGGGCTTCTAAAATACAGCATACTAAAGAGAACTATAATATCACCACACTAAGAGCTATTACATGATCTCCCATCAATGTGCATGCGTTTATTTTACTATTTTGTGAGCAAAATGTTAACTGGGTTATGTTAACTGGTTAACATCATGGTCTCCAATCTGTTCGCCACTGTGGTCAATAAAACTGAACTGATATTCTAAGGTAGTATGAAACCATATTACAAGTATCATGCATATATCGTAAGTAAAAATGCCAATTCACACAGGCGTATAAACTGATCACTAGAATAGTTGTTTTTAATTTTTTGAGGGTGTTTTTATCCTTGAATTTTCTTTACTGTGCCCACTGCAGAAAATAACACTTTTCCTCCAGTAAATAGTACTAGATATAAATAGTATAATTGAGTATACGTGTTGGCTATTTCGTATATCACCAGTAGGGGTATTTTCTGCTCATGTTGCTGGAGAGGAGAGTTCTCTAAAGTCTCTCTTAATCAGAACTGGTTAGAATACCTGAAAAGCAACTGGGGGTGGGAGGTAATAGGTGCCATGTTGATCAAGAGGTCTATACTTCGGCTCTGTGGGAAAACGCAGGAGCTGCCTGACTGTAGGAAAGAATCATCTTCAATGCATCCTCACCTCAGTCCCACTGCCACCTCTCCAAAGCTTCAGCAAACCTGTACTCAAACGGCTGAATGGCTAGGATATATGAAAATACTGCTACCTGATACAACACAGTGTTTTATGTCCCCACCCTACAACACAGTGTTATGTTTAAGGTAAAGAAGAGTTAGAAATTAGTATTAAATAAGAAAAGAGCTATGACTTAAAATGTCTTTAACCCTTACATCACTTTATATGTTAGATGCTTTCCTGAAAAGTTGGTATGAGGCATTTTTTTCTAAGCAGTGCTAAATTTTAGTAAAATTTTAAATATGTGTTATAATTACTTCTAAAATACAGAAAAAGAACCATTAAGAATACCAGTATTTATGTAAAATAGCCTTCTTCCTTTGCCAAAAAACATTTTATTATGTACATTTCAACTTCCCCACGTGAATTCTGCAAAGATAGGCAAGCTAATAAAAAAACACACATAATGTCAGACTTCAAGGAGAAAAATGAGCATATTTGCCAGATCTCCTGATACAGATATAATCTTTATTGATTAAATGTTTAAAAAACTAAAAGATGACCACATACCGAAAGTGATCTTGTGTTGTATAGTAAACGCTATTTAATAGTTACAGTATTTACAAAAATATATTTTAATGCCGTTTCGGAGCAGAATATAGACAAGGGAAGTCTATGAGTCTGGCTGTCAGTGAGTCCTGCATTTGAACCCTTCCTTGCCATCTTTGAATGGCCTGCTCTTTGCTATGTTCTAGGTATTTCTGAAACTTGGGTTCCTCTTCTGTGAACTGGGAATGATAATACTTACACTGCAATTTCATTGTGAAGGTTAAGTGGCATCATTTATTTATAATAATCAGCACATAATAGCTGTTCAAAACCAGGAACTAGGGAAGGTGTTACTGTTTTTATCGTAATCTATACAACTGATACATTCTCAACAAACATCTAGAACTAGTCAGTGGTTAAGAATTATGCAACTTTACTTTCTCAGCAGCAATTATCTAGCTCTTACAATCTCCCTCCCCCCACAAAAAATGTATTATTAATAAAAATTCAGAAGTTTTTATCAGGAAAACAATACTAACTGCATCCTCTACCACCATTCCATTGTCCTATCAGGCTATACCTCAAACTCTGAACTAATAAAAATCAAATCATATGAAAGAGGGTCTGATAGTTAGTTATGACATGATCATTTTAACGAATTGTGGGTAAGGCAGATAAACACCTTAAAAATACCCACTTTTTAAAAAAAGATATAATAGTTTTGGGATGGAAGAAGTAGCTGAAAAATTTATTGCTGCAAAATACACAGGCACGTTTCCCTTGTTTAGAAAACAAAACCCCTATTGTCATAAAAGAATTTATTACTCTGAACTTGAAATGGGCAGGAAGACATTTCACATTCAAAGGAGTGGTTGTTTGTAGAGGAACTTATGGGAATAAATGGTACTTGAGGGCTAAAAATCAGGAAGGATAATTTCTATTCATTTTTTAATGAAACCAGATAAAGGCACACTCATAGCTTAATTAATGATTTCCAGGCTCTCAAGCAGAAGTGGAGCCCTGGTGATACAGTAGTTAAGAGCTCAGGCTGCTAAATAAAAGGTCGGCAGTTTGAATCAACTAGTCTCTCCTTGGAAATTCTTTGGAGCAGTTAGGTCACTATGAGTTGGAATCAGCTCGAGGGCAATGGTTTTTTGTTTTGTTTTGTTTTTTTAAAGCAGAAGTAGACCATGCACTGTTGTATGCCTAACACATATTAACAAGAAGTCTGGCACCCAGAAAGCAACCTTTGATAAACTTCATTATGCATTGAAAAAATATTTTCAAATTATGGTAATATTAGCTCTCATATGCTCTTAATGACTAGGTCAACTTGATCCATCCAGAGATTACTGAGTGTCAGTGAGGACACATTGCTAAGTGTGATGACAACACATCCGAAATGAATAAGACATAGTTCCTGCACTCAAGAAACCCGGATAGGATAAAACAATTGTATTATCAGCATCTGAAGACTTCCTCAATTCCATCATGTCTAGCTCCTTGGAGCATTTTCAGTCCTAGCTGAAACAATTGCTACTATTGTGACATGTCCATTTGTAAAATTTCAAAAAGTTCAGCTTATCCTATACAGATCCAGGCAGATGCTCAATTGCCTCGGATGTAGTACAAAAGGGTACATCTTACAAAATATGGAAAATTGCAAAACAGAAAAAAAAACATAACGCAAATTCGAAAAATTTTACAAATTTCAATTTTACAAATTTCAAATCAGATGCAAATGTAAGATCAGCACGTAAACATCTATGACTACAGTATTGGTGAGGCTTCTGTCCTTGCATTTTGTTTGTTTGTTTTTGAAGCAAATTTCAACTGTAAAACAAACACTATTGCTAGCTTTGAAAATGGTATGGCAGGCAGAAATATATTAAGTACCACTTTATTCTAAGATTCCCAGATAACAACATTAATACATGGTAATTATACAATTAGTTGTAACATTAAGTTCTAGTTATAGAACAATGATTACTCAGTAATTATAAGAAGTATGTAATTACTTAATAATTATGAGAAGTATGCAATTACATAACCATTTTGTTCATTTCGAAAAAGAACGTGTACATCTCCAGGAGCCACGCAGCCAAGTGAGTCTAATGTTCTGTCAGCCCAACTAACACACAGTTCAACTCGCAGATCTAGAGCAACCGGCAGGATTTCAAACCTCCGTGAAGTTCAAAATTCAAAGCTAAAGCAGAATCCACAGATTTCTCCTCCTCCCCTCATTCCTTCTCCCTTTTTTCTTTTGAATTTGACCCATTTTGGTCCTAGAAATTTGGGATCAGTTCTTAAAACGTAAGCCCTCCCGTTCCCCCCTCTCGGGAGGGTTGTGCTTTACCACTTTCGCTGCATAAAGTTTGTTATCAGTGGGCTGGAAAATGCAGCTCCATTGGTTCAGCCTGAGGAATCAAGCTAGAGAATGTGAAAGTGATAAGCATTTCCTATCACAGGCGGCCATCCCTGTCTGGTCGGCCTCAGCTCTAGGCCCATTTGTGAGTATAACTGGATGGCGCAGGCGTGTCTGAGTGTCTGCCTTCTGGAACCATGACCTCTCCCCCACAAGGACTCTGAATTTTTAGCTGGTTTCCTTTCATCCACAGTCTGGCTATGGTCTGAGCCCTCAGGCTTTACCTGGGGACACCCCTGGACTCTTTACAGAATGAGTTTGTCTCACCAGTGTTCCATCAAAAATCACCTGGGGGTACTTCATAAACATTTGCATACAGAATTCCACCACAGACTTGCTGAATGAAGAATATTAGGGAGTACACCCAGGAATCACTGGGTGATAGTTCTTAAAATGCTGAAATTGGAGAACTCTTGATTTCAGGATTATTTACCTCATCATGGTCATGCTGGTCTTAAATAATGATCAACATTCTTTTCCTCTGCTTCCAAAAATAATCAGATCACTTCTGGCATCCTTGTTAGTGATGCCCTTAGACTCGCACTTCGGACTGGAAAGTGCTGACTCTATTAGCAAACTACTTCATCTGCAGAAAGTGTAGAGCTAATGTTTAAACCAGGTCTGTCTTCAGGGAGTTATCAGGAGGGACCAGTCCCTGGAGAAGGACATCATGCTTGGTGAAGTAGAGGGTCAGCGAAAAAGAGGAAGACCCTCAACGAGATGGACTGACACAGTGGCTGCAACAATGGGCTCGAGCATAGCAACGACTGTGAGGATGGCGCAGGACAGGGCAGTGTTTCGTTCTGTGGTACGTAGGGTCATTACGAGTCAAAACTTGACAGCACCTAACAACAACAGTCTTCAGGGAACACAAACTCTAATACAGTTGCTCTATAAGAAAATGTAAAATATTAGATAAAACAATTTTTTAAATGAGTAATCATTATTGCAGACCTGAGGATAAAATTTACTTCAGGATTTTCTGTGGAGTATTAATCTCTCTCTGTCTCTGTTTCTCTCTCTCTCTTTCCACTGAGAACTCAGGGGTAGGATTCTTTGTCCACTGGCCAACATTCAAGGAAAAACAAGTTTTGTAATAGATCAATAGATATTTGAAAATATAAAATTTTTAAATACACTAGCTGCTGTTTCAAGATATTCCACATTCTCAAGGGTCTTCAAAGAGGCTAATTTATTCAGTACTACTTTTCTTTTTATTTTGAAGAAATAATTATTAAATGAAGAAGCAAAATAAATCTAATATTTTACATATAAAGAATCTTTCCTTCAGCATCAAATATAAAGTCCTACTAAA